TGCTGAACACAATAATATGGCCAACATAATAAAATAACTGAAGGAATATAATGAACCTTGAAAATCTTAAATATGTAAATGTTCACAAGATCATTGATGAACACAATAATATGGCCAAAATAATGCAATGACTGAAGGGATATACCCATAATAACAAATTAGATGAATAAAATATGTAGACACTAATAAGTAAAACTTCCTATCTAGGAAGTAGTTAATAAATTTAATTACAAAATATACAGTGAATCCTGACACTGATTCTGCTCCTCACTGTTTCACGCTGAAACAGGTAACCTGAAGATTGCAAGTCAATTATAAAGTAATGCCACTTCATTCTTACCCACATATAAACAAGAGCCATTTGAGTCAGAAAAGAATTTCCCACACAATTCTTGATTGAAATATAGTTATTTTCAGATAGAGGGCAGAATGAAACTCTGACCATCTTCTGACAATGATGTTCTAATATACTGGGAAGAAGGAAACAGGTCTCCAAAGCAAGGAAGAGATGGGGCTCAAGATCAGAATAGGCTTCTTGTACATAATCCGACTGTAGGTGACAATGTTATCAACAAATTACTCAATACCAGAGGTTTGAGACAAGAGCATGTGAACGCATGGTAGTTGCAGTTGCTTGTCACCAGGGTTACTTTCTCCAACTTATGAAACATCTACTGATGCTCATGTGAGCAATTGGAATATATTATTCCAGTAATTCAGTAACTGCTGTCTGCCGATTTACAGGGCTGGTATGGGCAGGATATTACAAAGCAAAGATGAAGAAGCATTATTTTCCTAATGACTTAACTGATGTTTCAGTATCTTAATCTTCCTCTTTGTGGCCCTTTGCCTGGCTGATCCAGTCATCAACCTGTTTGTCAGCTTACACCACCAAGGAATGTAAATTCTTGTGAGACATCTCACAATACCATCTACTATTCGTTGGTAGTGAAGTGAACAACCAGTACACCTAATCCACTCCAAGTCAATGGTGCTCTTAATGGCAGTTGTGATATGATGCAACATGAATTGAACTGCCTGCCATCATAGATTCCATTAGAGTTACAGCACACCAACAGTCTCCACGCCAACATCTCATATATATATGAAGACATTGGCTGATAGCAGCACTTCAGATGTCACGCATGTCTTGCGTGCATCACAGCTGACACCACGAAGCATCTGTCTGGCAATGGAACCACTGACATAGGCTACTGAGAACACTTCCATGTCACTAGCATGTACTGCAGCAACCATGTCCTTCTGTACTTGTTGAGTAACATGGAAACTCAGGAACTTTATCAGGGGTTTCCTTGCCATGTCTTTTGGACAGATCTGGTAAAGAAGCATCAGGTGCCCTGAAAAATGACTGTAGGTTACACACAAGAGTAGCACCATCGTCCTCACAACTAGTTCCACACAGACCTCTGATAGCAAGTGCACTGATGATGTTAGTCTTCAGGGCATCTACAAACTGTCCCACAGTCGGATTATTGTTCAAACCAGACTACAAACGAATAGCTTCAAATGTGTTCACAAGGTGATCACCAAACATCTGTTGCCAGGTATTCACCACAGCACTCCACTGAAAGAAGATTAAAAA